AGGCCAGGTTTTTAAAAGTCCAGGCCCGTTTTAAAAAGTCCAGGCCATGTTTTTAAAAGTCCAGGCTCGTTTTAAAAAGTCCAGGCCAGGTTTTCTGCACAACTTGGCTGTGCACATGATTTGACCTCCACGTCTGGACTTTTATAACTGAATTTGTTGGAGGACACTTTAGTGGACCAGTTTTCATTCAGACCAGCAGAACACGACTTGGGTCAGAATTTAGACGGTTCCATAAACCTGTGAGGGCTACGATTATTTTAACAGGACTTCTGTTTTCCTCTGAGTCATGAGGACACGAAGACCTCCCAGGAATGTTTGGGACATTCTGTCCACCAGCATCTTTTTTAGACACCAGAACTTTTTGTCTTTGTGGACAGAATGAGACAAGTTTAAACATGTCTGTCCACGTCCTCCACAGTGTTGCTGTTCAGAACCACAGCCTTCCACCTGGTTCTTCTTCTCTGGTTCTGATGGGTCTGACTCCTGGCGCCCTCTACAGGCTACAGGCCGCCACCGTCAGCGGGGAGCTGCGGTCCAAACCCGCCAGTCTGAAGGCTCGAACGGGTAAAAACCTCTGAACTCTGTCCTGAAAGTTTGACCGGTTTCCTGCAGAACCTTATTGTTGCGAGGACTCCACAACAAACAATCTGGATTATATAATCAGCTGGGACCGGATTGTGTCCAGACAATCATCCCGGGCAGAACTTTCCCGTGGAGCACAAAGACAAACAGGAAACTTGAGAGAAAGCAGCGGAGCAGAAACGACATTTCAAACGTCCAGAAACCAAAAGAACCTCCAAACACGACGCTTTGAAAACCGTGTGCACCTGAACGCCTCGCGGATGATTTGTTATTTAAAACTCCAGCTGTTTATTAGATCAGCTGTAAAATCTGAGATTTAAACCTTTGTCAGGGTCTGACGATAAAACGAGCTCAGGAACATTTAGTTTGAACTTGCTTAAAGGTCACTGCTTGAACGCTGTCCGTTTAATACAAAATATCAAACATTGAAATATCTATCATGTAAATAGTTTTTAGACTTGATCTGAAAATAATCTGATTTATAAAAGTTAAATAAAAATTGAGACTTGCTGATCAGCCCGAGTCGACGGGATGTATAACAACTCTCAAGTTGACATAGAATTGACTAGTTGATTGGTCTATTCAACCCCTACTCTCCGTGCATGCGTGGGTTTTGTACAGTTACTCCAGTTTCCTCCCACAGACCAAAAACATGCTGATTGGTAACTCTGAATTGTCCCTAGGGTTAGAGAGTGAATGGTTGTTTGTCTCTATGTGTCCCTGTGATGGACCTGTCCAGGTGTCCCCCGCCCCTCGCACAATGATTGCTGGACATGGGCACCGGCGACCCCCGCTACCCAAAACTGAAGAAGCGGGTAAAAGATAATGGATGAATGGATGAAAATGATATAAAAACACAGACACACACATGAACCTGCTTCTGATCAACACCTTTAAAAAAGTTTAAACTATAAAAGTTTAATTTAAATCATTTTGAAAGTGATGAAGGTTTTTAATAAATGTCCTTGCAGCTAACGAGTCCTCACCTCGTCACACTTCCTGTTTGGAGCGCAAGCTGTGTTCCTACAAAACGTCCCAGTAATTTTTCACAGAGGTTTTTTTGTATAGCTCTGCTGCCAACCAATCAGCTCGCAAAACACAAACTGAAGCTCCGCCCACAACCGCTCTGCTGCCAACCAATCAGCTCGCAAAACACAAACTGAAGCTCCGCCCACAACCACTCTGCTGCCAACCAATCGGCTCGCAAAACACAAACTGAAGCTCCGCCCACACTGCTGCCAACCAATCAGCTCACAAAATGCAAACTGAAGCTCCGCCCACAATCAAAAACTAACCACAGCCTCTTTGTCTTCAGCCCCGGCTGCCGTCTCCCAGGTGACCGTTGCTAACGGCGGTAAATCAGACGCCCTTCACGTGTCGTGGCGTCCTGCAGAGGGCGTGGCGGACAGCTACCTGGTCCGTCTTCTGGACGGGAAGAGGACCGTCCACACGCTGGCGGTGTCCAGCTCCTCTCCGCCTGAGTGCTCCTTCAGCTCGCTGGTTCCTGGACGCCTGTACTCTGTCGCCATAGTAACGAGAAGCAGCGGGATGGAGAACACCACGGTGGTGCAGGGGCGAACACGTGAGCGCGCCCTGGATTTGTTTGTGTTCGTGTCTCTGCGTTCGTTTTTTTACCGACGTTCTCACTTCGTTTGTTTTACAGAACCTGCAACGGTGCAAAACCCAACAGCTGTTCACTCTGCAAGAGACGACTTCCTCAAGGTGCGTTGGACCGAAACAGCCAGAGGACAAAGTGTCTCACCGTTTTAAATGTGTGGTTCAGTTTCCTTTTAAATACTTCACTTCAGCTTCATGACGGGTTTCTTTGTTTATTTAAGGAAGTTTAAAACTGATGTGATTTTAAGTTCTTCCAGGCAGTTTGAACAACAACAAAAGATTGAATTTAAAATTAAAATCTTTTCTGAAACAGATGAAAACAGGTTAAAAGATGAGTTTTTAAAAACCTGTGTGGAACCAAAGGTGGACCCTCCCTCTGGGTCTGAGGTGAGACTCAGAAAAGAGGGGTTCAGGTTTCTGAGACCCTCAAGGATGGTAGGTCACAGCGGGAGATGGACTGATGGATCTGAGCCTCATCTGCAGTAATGAGGGCATTGCTCCAGTCTGTTGTGGTGAAGAAACTGAGCTGAAAGGCAAAGCTCTGGATTTTACTGGTCCATCTAGATTCTAACTTTCACCCGTGGTCACATTTGGATCAAGAGCCTGAATCCAAGGGGTTGAAATGAACTGCCTGGATGGATGCTTCATCCAACCATTTTAAATCATGTTGGATGAAGGTACAGATGGATTTATAGATGGCTGGCTGAATGGAAAATAAATGGGTGGATATACATGTTGAATTGATGGATGAAAGATGGATGTTAGATGGATGTTGGATGAAGGATGGATGTCAGTTGGATGTTGAATGAAGGATGGATGTTGGATAAGGATGGATGTTGGATAAATTAAGAATAGATGTTGGATAGATGGATGATTGTTGGATGGATGTTTTATAAAGGATGGATGTTTGATAAAGGATAGATGAAGGATGAATGTTGGATAAATGAAGACAGATGTTGGATGGATGTTGGATGTATGTTAGATGAATGAAGGGTGGATGTTGGATTTATGAAGGATGCATTAAATGGATCCAAAGTGTCATCCTTGCGGGACGCCACATTAAGGATTTTTTTTCTGTTTGTTTTTTTCCTGTTTGATTTGAAACAAACGTTCATCACGACTAAAGTTAAATTGTTTAACGTCGTCTGATCAGTTTTCATTTTATTTACTGGTGTTGTGTTTCCTGTCGGCCATTTAAAACTCCTGCGGTGCGTTCAGGTGTACTGGCATCACGCTGCTGGGGATCTGGACCGCTACGTGGTTCTGATCCGTTACAACCACACCATCCTGCAGAACAAAAGTGTGTCGGCCGGACACAACGAGTGCGCCTTCTCTTCTTTGACACCGGGGAGACTTTACACCGTCACCGTGGAAACCTGGAGCGGCGGCGCCGTCAGCTCCGCCTCCACCGTCGGTCGAACTCGTGAGTCGGAAACCAACGAAACAAACGTGACACGTTGTGTTTGTTTTCTAACAGATGTTTGTTTTTTTTAGTCCCTGCAGCTGTTAGCAATCTGTCGCTAGGCAACACAGGAACGACTCACCTGAATATCACCTGGAGCCCCGCCCCCGGAGATGTGGACCACTACGAGGTAGGACTGAGTAAAGTCCTTCTCATTTTGAAAAACTATTGGCTCCATGTGACAGTTTGAAGGTGACCTCATCCACCTGTTGTCCAGGTGACTCTGCTCTTTAACGACACTCGGGTTTTCCCTCCGGTGACGCTGAGCAGCGACGCGCGGCACCACCTGCTCACCTCTCTGACTCCTGGGCGCCTCTATAAGCTCGTGGTGTCCACGTTCAGCGGGCCGTATCAGACGGCCCAGTTCATCGAGGGACGGACAGGTACGACTGAAAACTGGTCTTTAATGAAACTCCTGAGTCCAGACCTTAATCCAGGTTCTGTCTCCTGTCCAGTCCCCAGTGCAGTGAGGAACCTGCGCCTGGTCCCTCAGCCTGGTCTGTCGGACCCTGATGGTGGGCTGCTGGTCTCCTGGACGCCTGGAGACGGAGACGTGGACATGTACATCGTGTCCCTGTCAGCCACGGTGGGCTTCAGTGCTTCTGTGATTTGAATAACTCGTGTTTAAGTTCTTCTTCTTGGTTTTTATTGAGTTGTTTTGACGCCTACATTTCCCCAAATTTTTACGTCGTTGTCTCTGTCCATCAGGACGGCGTCGCCGTTGATACTCGTCCCGTCCCCAAACACGTTTCCTCCCTGGACTTCCTCGATCTGATCCCAGGCCACGCCTACACCGTCACCATCCAATCACTGAGCGAGAAGCTGACCAACAGGAACACAGCCGCGGGCCGCGCAGGTGAGACTCGGACACGAATCGGTCGTCGTGATTCTGATTTGACTCGTCACGGCTCCTGTTCCCTCCTGCAGCTCCAGCCGCCGTCACCGCCCTGCAGGCCGATAACGGACACACCACCCACAGCCTCGCCGTCAGCTGGGAGCGTCCCGTGGGCGTGTACACCGGTTACAGCCTGCAGCTGCTGGACGACGCCGGCGCCGTTCTGATCAACCGCTCGGTGGGGGCGGACAGTCGAAGTGAGCGCCTGGAGGGTCTGACTTCAGGGAAGTGGTATCGTGTGAAGTTGGTGACGCTGAGCGGCGGCGTTCCCTCTCTGTACGCCGCCACAGCTGAAGGACAAACCCGTGAGTTGCATTTAGCTTCTTTAACAACAGCAGACATTATTATACACTAACCTTCTTGCTGAAAAGCAACAGCTCTACCAACTGCACCGTCCTAATTAAAAGTAATTTAAAATTAATTAGCTAAAAGTTGTGAAGTGCAAGCTAAAGCTAAAAAGATAGCTGAAAGCTATATAAAGTGAAAAGCTTGATTAGCCAGAAGTGAAAGCACGCCAGAGGAACGCTAAAAGTTACAGAAAGCTAGCTGACATTAGCACAATGCTAGTTAAAATATAAAAGTAGCAAACCACAGCTAAAAGTTTTAACAAATCAAAAGGCTAGCTAAAAAGTTAAACAGTAAAATGCAGCAGCTGAAGTAGATTTGGAAAAAAGTGTTTTTACTGTGTTGTTTGGAGAAAAACATCCAGACTGTATCAGACTCACTTAGGTCCAGTGCAGCTTAGACCTGGCTCTAACAAGAACCGTGGAGTTTATCCAACTGCGTTTTCTGTAAAAGTCACAGCATTGTCTGCAAACGCTGGAGCGAACAGAGGATCGTTGGTTTATAACAACTAAAATGTTCCAAGGACACACCCCTGTGGAGCACCTTATTTATACAGATTAATTGCATTGAGCCTCAGAGACTCATTTACAAGAGAGACCTGTTTTGAGACCTTCAGGACTTCAGCTTTGCTTATGAGTCAAGTTCAAGGTTCCAACTGATTGGAGTGGATTTGTTCTGTCCTTCAGGTCCGGCTTCAGTCACAAACCTGACGGTGTCCTCGGTGAACACCACCTCCCTCAGCTTCTCATGGCGTCCCTCAGACGGGCACGTTGACGTCTACGACCTGTCCCTCTACAGCGTCTCTGAGGCGTCGGTCAGTCACCGAGCTGCAGGGAGCAGGAAGGACCAGCAGCAGGTGGGGTGGTCGTCCCTGCTGGACCCATGTTCCCGATGAGCAGAACATGTGGTCACCACCATCATGTGATGTTTTCAGGCTGCGGGTGAGCTGGTGGGCCTGCAGAAGGTGGGTCCAGCTGCGGACAGCTGCGTGTTCTCCGGCCTGCAGGCAGGAAGTCTGTACAGACTGCAGGTGGTGAGCTGGAGCCGAGACATGAGCAGCGACTCGTCCGTCCTGGCCAGAACCGGTCCGTCCACCCACCTCGTCCTGTCTTCATCTGTCCCTCCGACGTCTTTAACACGCCGTCTCTCTGTCCCTCTGCAGTCCCGTCTCCGGTGTCGTCCCTGCAGGTCCAGAGTTCAGGACGGACGGACACACTGACAGTCAGCTGGGAGCGGGGACAAGGTAGCTGCAGCAGCTACCAGGTAAACAACAACAACTTTGTTTATTCAGTAGCTGCTACCAGGTAAACATCAACAACTTAGTTTATTCAGTAGCTGCTACCAGGTAAACAACAACAACTTTGTTTAT